TAGTTTGTGTATTTTTATTAGTACAGATGGTATGGCTTGTGTCCAAATGACCCCCCAGAGCCTTGTGTGGTCACAGGTGGGGCTTTTCAGAGGTGGCAAAATCTAGGATGTGTGACTCTGGGATTACGTGTGTCATGCTGGCATCAAGGGTATACGATTACGCAATTAATCCACTAATTGGTTTGGCATCGTTTTTGGGGTGAGTAATGGGAAGGTCACCTTGGGTCTGAACGCTATTGCCCTACGGCCATGTAGCCTGGACAGAACACTAGGGACAGAAAGACGGCTACTCTTGTCACCTGCTGCCGCTTCGCTACTTCACTGCTTCGCTGACTTCTGTCCACTCTGAGCTGTTTCTCCTCTGCGATGCCCCTCTGCCATGCCACCCTGCCTTGGAGCCAGCCAGCTCGGGACTGGGACCTCTACAGACTGTGAGCTACAGTCAGCCTTTCTCCCTTTAACTTTGGGTCCTGGGGAGTCCATCTCAGCAATGAGGAAAAGTAACTAAGGCACCAGGTTTGCTGTACCTCATGTTCACACTCCTTGGTGGAAGGGGTCCATGTACAGAACACATCTGAATTCCTTTCTTCGTCCCCTTTCCTTCCCTTCCTTCCTCCTCCCTTGGTCTCTTGATTCTTTTCCCACTTGAAAAAGATCTTTCTACCTTCCTCCTATTATCTTTTAGTTTCTTCTTTATTTATAATTCCAATCTCTCATATAAAAGAAACCATATGGTGTTGAAGCCCGTGTGTCTGATTTATTTCACTTAATAGTATGGTCTCAACATGCACCCATTTTCTTACAAATGACTCAAGTTTATCCTTCTTTATGGCAGAGTAGTACTCCATTGTGTGTAAATACATTTCCTTTATCCATTCATCTACTGATGGACATATAGGCCACTTTCAAGATTTAAGTATTATAAATTACACTGCTATAAACATGACCATGCATGTATCACACCCATATGATATGTTTAACTCTTTCAGGAAGTTACCTAGAAGGGAAATGCAATAGATGTGTCAAACAGAATTTCTAAGGGGCCGGGGAGATGGCTCAGTAGAATAAGTGCTTCTGTGGCAAGCACAAGGGCCTGAGCTCAATTCCCGGTTCCGAAAAAAAAAATTTCCAGAATTTCTAGTTTTAGTCGTTGTGAGGAATCTCTATACTTATTTCCATCGTAGGTGTACTAGTTTACATTCCCACCAACAATATAGAAGGATTCCATTATTCTTCAGTCTCACCAGTATTTGTTATTGTTTGATTTCTTCGTGATCATTCCTTCTGGGGTAAGATGGAATAGCAGTGTTGTTTTGTTTTGCATTTCTCTACTGGCCAGTGGTGTTGAGCATTTTCTTCCTGCACTTATTGGCCACATGTACTTCTGTGATGACATTATCAGCAGATGACACAGATGGGAGGTGGGGCGGGACATGCGGTATGAGCCTGAGGGCTGTACCGTGTCCCTGGCCCCTTCCTCTCCAGTTCCTTCCTACTTTCTCTGCTTCCTGGCTGCTAACATTGAATGGTTTTCCTTTTCCTCACCCTGCCACTATGATGTCTTGGCCCCACCTCAGGCCCACAGCCATGGAGCCACTCAATCATGGAATGAAATTTCTGGAACTATAAGCCAAAGTAAACCTTCCCTCTGTTAAATGGATTTATGTCAAGTAGTTTGTCACAGCAATGGAAAGCTGACTAACACAGTAGCTGAGCAGTCTTGATTAACTCCTTAATGCCTTGGCTTCCTCCCTGGAAAATGAGAACAGCAACAGCAGCAGACTTAGTGGGTTATTGTAAAATGTACCACCTGCTTGGCTGTTTTTTGATCTATATATGGATGCAGGAGGGGAGTAAGAATCTTGTAGGAAGTTTTCCCAAGTACAGGTATCCTTCAGTATCCAAGCCATTACTATCCCAAGGCAAGGATGTGCCCATTCAGGGAGTAATGGAAGGATGCTTTCAGATGTGTCTCAATTGCACCTGCCTGGAATATCCCACTCACAGCCACTTACCAAATCTCTTGGTGGCATGCTGACGGGGACCTGCAATCATGACCTTGGTTTTCCTGCCTGCATCCACCCTCCCACGGCTTAGACTCATCTTGCTACCACTGGGACACAAACACACACACGTGTATGTGCACACACACATACTTCCACACATATATCTTGCAACACTGAGGCTAACTTAAGGTTCTCCTACCTGTCGTCTATGCCTGCTCACACATTTTTGCCACACTTATCCCACTTTCAGCTACCTACTTCTGAAGGTTGTGGCAAGATTAAAAGACATTTGTAAAGTGTCTAATGCAGTATTTGGCAAAGTACACGCATTAGGCAAATGCCAGGTCCCCTGTACAACAGATTTGGAGAGCTCTTCATTTTGCACCCCTTCAAAGTGCCTAGCACAAGACTGCCCACAAAATGCTCGGAGCCCCTACCTTCCAGCACATTGTGAAGTTGAAGGTGGCCCTATTAACTGAACTACTGACCAGTACAAATCACTTCTTTGGCCTTTACCCAAAGGTTCTGTGTACAAGGAGTGGAATCTAGAAAATGCAAAAGCCGTGCTAGGGGTTGGGGGACTATTAAATAAGCATTAAGGGTACATTAGTATTGCGGGGACTTGACCCATGGGGACTACAGCCAGGGTCATCTGTTGGAAGGAAAAGGCTGAGAGAAATGAAGACCAAATGGAGGACAAAGCTCCAGTTGCAGATCAGAGAATGAAGATCTGGAAAGGAGAAAGAAGGATGGGGCTGAAAAATCCTATCCCAGGACCTGGCACACCTCTGTATTTCTCTCCTAGGTGCCATCAACTGGCCTCTGGTTGAGTTTTCCCAGGCCTCAGTGGCCCAGCACCCTGGTTTGCTAGTAGCAGCCCATAAAGGCGCTGCGGTTAGCCTGTGAGCTTGGCTTGCTGCTGGGGCAGAACAAACAGGAAGCCGGCACATCCTGCATGCCTGTTTGGAGACAGGCAGCTTGTGCACAGGCCCTGAAGGTTCTGACAAGTGCTCCCTCCCTTAGGGCATCAGGCCTGAAGAGTACCTGAGGCCCTGGGGCCAATGTAGCTCCATAACCCTTCCCATTCCTTGACTGGCTATCCTCTCACACCTGATCATGTATCCCTAAAGGCACCATGAGCTGGTTCCCTACAAGACTGTCAGGCCTCCTCCACATGCCTCCATAAAGCTGTAGGCAGTTACCAAACTCTTGTCCAGGGTGGCTTGAAGGGGACTTTGGAGATGGAAAAGGCAAGCCAGTAGGAAAAGATCTGTGGTGCACTCTTCTCATGAGTGTTTGTGGCATGCTGAGTAGGCCAGAGCCAAAAGAAATACGGTTTCCTCTTAAGGGAGAAGGACCTTGTCTTCCCTGCTTTCACCGCAACAGATGGATTGTGGGGATGTGGGGCAGAGTTAGGGGAGGAAGTCACAAGCACATCTTGGGAACAGGGGCGGGCCCTTCAGGATTTCATAAATGCCACATTCAAAAGCTTTTTAAAAGGTGCATCTGTTATTTATAATCTCCTAAGAGGTTAGGGATCAAAGATAATCTCTATCACTTGGAGGCAGGTCTTGAATCAGGTAGGAAGATATCCCTCTAGTAGACTCGTTGAAAGTGATTTTTTGGCTTCATGTTACTCCATGAATTAATTTCCCTGTTATTGTCTTCTAAGTTTGAATAAAGTTTTCTTTGAATGTTAGAAAAAAATTGTTATCTTTACCTAGCAAATCCCCCTTCTGGACATTTACCTTAAGAATAAAATTGTGGATGTGAATGAGCATTACCTAAAGGACACTCAGTAAGTACTTAAAAAAATTTAAAGTTCATCAGTAGGAGCTTTGCAAAATAACCACACCATGGTATGTTGAGCAGCCCTTTGCAGTTCACATAGTTGAAGAATATTTAAGAGCATGAGAAAATCTTAATGACTTCCATGTAGAAAAGAAGGTACCAACACATTTTATGAAGTGTGACTTTTTTCATGTTTAAAAAATTTTTTTGTTTGTTTTTATTTTTGCAGAACAGGGGATTGAACTCAGGCCCTTACGCTTGCCAGAGCATTTTTAAAAATTTAAATGCAGCTCTTTTGAGTTGTATAATTGACCTTCATAAACTGCATATCTTAAAGTGTACAGTTTGGTAAGAGTTACCATACCTATACATCCATGAAGGCATCACCACAATCAAGATTGGGAATGTATAAATCCCCCCCAAAGTCCATGTGCCCTTGATAATATCTTTTCCATGTCCTCAAGCTATGATCTGCATTCAGTGCAGTCAGATTTTAGTAAGAAGAAGCAAAGGTATATTGACAGAGAGGTAGACAGAAGCTTAAAATAGAAAAGGATATTTGTCATAACCGGTATGCAAGATATTTATGGATAATTTTTTTAATTTTTGTGTGTGTTTTTCTTTGTGTTTGCTAAATTGTACGTAATAAATACCAATTGCTTTTGTAGTAAGAATGAGTCACGGAGGTTGTTAAAATATCTGCCCCAGATAATTTGAGAAGTGTACCTCATGCATAAGCATTTGAAAACCATTGCTCAAGGTGGTGGCTTTACAGTGATGGCTATCAATAGGAGTGACATAGCAGTGGCAGTGGCCATAGAGGTGGGCAACTGCGGGATGACAGTGGTGGTGGTGATGGCAGAATGACTCTTGAGATACAAGCTGACCAGAAGCTTTGACCCAACGGGCAGAGAAACAGGCTCTCTTCTGGTTTCTGGATTCCGCTCAGTGAGCGTAGGGCTTGACTAAGCCCACATAATGTCAAGTTGATTGCTACCTCTAGGAAGATGGAGTAGACAGGGATGATTGACTTGAGACAAAGTATAGGGACTTTTCTCTGATCGTTCAACCCAAGAGGTGCCTGCCTCAGAATCTCTGGAGACTGAAGCTGGGACTTCCTTCCTCCCTAGGGGCCGCGGGGGCTGCGATTACTGTAAGAGAAGGTCACGTGGCAGGGCTTCCTGTACGCTGTTGCCGCCGGGTGTCCATGGCCCGCACCCCCAAGCTGCCACTGCAGCAGTAAGAGTGGCAGCCGGGGACTTGGTCCATGCTGTGCCCTCCGGACGGTGCTGGTGAGGCTAAGCAACAGGTCTGCACATTGTGACATCTAGGAGAGCAGGGACGGAATCTAACCAGGGTTAAGGATCATGTTGCGCCGCAAGCCCTCCAACGCCAGCGAGAAGGAGCCCACCCAGAAGAAAAAGGTGAGGAGCATCTTCAAAACTCTCACTTTTTCTTTCATTCCTTTGGAAATTCACTTCTTCCTTCCCTCCTCTGCTCTCTCCACCTATCTCTTCCCACACTCTTAGAAGCGGGAAGAGCCAGCGGCCATATGTCGAGCATATAGGTGAGGGCTGTGTTCCCAGAGAGCAATGGGACAGGACCCAAAGGCAACTAGAGTAACAGGAGAGTAAAAGAAAATTTAAAACTGACATGAAAGAGCTATGGGATAGCCTCCTAGAAGTCTGGAGTTACAGAATTCAACCCTACCGTGATGGGCTAAAGATTTAAAATTAGCGGCCAAAAGCCTAAACTAGACTTCAAGAATTACAAAATACTATGTTCTACTTGGACACTTAAGACTTAATTCTCCATTTCCTCCGTTGGTCATGTCACCATTTTTACTGCAGTGTTGCCCCTCAGAAGCCATCTCACTCATAGATCTCTGCAGGGCCACCCAGCCAAGATGCTTCCAGGGCCTGCGCCCTTTGGCCAACACCCAGACCCACTGTGCTCACTGCTGTTGCAGCTGCCCGGGCCACTGGGGATAGGGCCTGAGGTAAGGTCCAGACTCAGAAAAGGATCCCGCCAATCTATGGTGAGATTCAAGGAGCTGTGTAGCTTCTTCCCAGTTGGACAGAAAATGTTGGTGAGAAATGAGAAATAAATCTGGGAAGACTGTGAGTAGGAATGGGAGCTAAGGAGGAATAATTCAATCGGGGAAATTAAAAAAAAAACAGAAAGGGAAACAGTGGAGGTGTTCATCCTCCTCCTGGGGCACAGTCCAGCCTGGAAGATTCCTTGAAGGCTTTTGCCAGATCTAGCTTTCTCTGGTTGGGTCTAAGGATTTGATTGCATCATAAGATTCTCCCAATCAACCAGCAAGCACAGTTTGCACATCCAGTGAGACCATAGGACCATTGCAAAGCAGGAGGCCTGAGCCAGGTCCACAAGGCCTGTACTCAGGCCCATATCTGTGGCCTCCAGGCCCTCACTGTGCCCTACCAGTTTTCCCTGGAGCCCAGTCCAGGTGTACTATGGGAAAGCCCCCTTGTCCAAGGAACAATGCCTAAGTGGAGACAGAAAGCTGAGAGACCGAGCCCCAGGGCACTGGGGTGTGCATCCTGTCCCATCTCTTGGGTCTTAGATGGCTGCCACTTCCGGCTGTACTCTCTCTACCCCAGCTGCTTCTCTAAAGTTTCAGTGCTGGTGGGTAGGTGAGAGAGGAGATTCATGAATGTTCACACAAGCCCTGTCATCCTCGTCCAAACCTTGCATGGTGCTAGGCCCAACAGACTTGCCATTGGCTGCTGCTCCTGAGTGAGTAGGGCCATTTCCTCTTGCTCTCTGCCTCATGGGGGTGGGAAACAGAGACTTCTTTTTAGATACTTCTGGGCCCCAAACCACAGGGGAGCTGAGCTGGAGGAAAGAGTCTGAGAAAGAGCTAACACTTTGACACTGAAATCCTGTATCACCTCAGATCAAGGTACTCAGGGCCACGCAGAAACCAGAAGTCCCCTTCTTTTTCCTCAGCTTCAGTTACCCAGATTCTGCATTTGGCAGGTGGCCCTCTAAAATTTTTTCCAGACCTCTTCCAGGAGAAACAAGGTCCATGTGGCACTGTATCATTCATATCCTTCAAAGAAGTACAGTCCAGGCAAAAGCCACTGTACCCTGGCCAGACCCTGTCCCAGCCTCCTGAGCCAAGATGAGCTTGCCTGCATACCCTGAGTCCCATCCTGGGCACATTCCATTAGAAAAGCCAAGCCTCCTGAAGGGAAAGGCAGCATTACTGGATGCAGTGACACAGCGTCATCTTTGCTTGCACAGTGACAGTGGACAACTGAGGAGACAGGAAGGCAAAGAAAACCAAAAGGCAAAAGGCAAGAGAGGCCTCTCTCGCTCTCTGTCTCTGTCACTCTGTCTCTCTGTGTCTCTCTCTGTGTCTCTGTCTGTCTCTCTCTCTCCTGCCCTATGAGGTCTGCCAGATGGAGTACATGCCAGGCAGAGGGCAAGAAAGTAGAGTGGAAATTTTGCTGTGCTCTAGTTGTAGGACCTTGGATAGGACATAGATGTCCTCTGGGACTCAGTTTCCTCACCTCTAAAAAGGGACATAACTTCTAATCTGGCCACCTGAGCAGAATATACAGATCACCTGGAGCAATGATTGTGATCGGACTCTGTCACTAGTGTCCACGTGTCCACGAGGCAGTGCATGTTTAGGCACAAACACAGGTTGCACATTGCAAAGAAAAATAGGTCCTGGCCCCAGCCTTGAAGTGGAAGAAACAAGACTTAATAGCACTAAAAGCCAGCACTGAGGGAGAGCTCATCAGGTGCCAAATACTGGCTATACACTTTACCCATCATCTCTTAGCTCACTAATGCTTCATGACAACCTTGCAAGGTGGGAGCAAAGATAGTCATTAGCCCTGTTGTACACTAAGGACTCACAGAGATGAAGTAACTTGCCAAAGGTCATACAGCTAGGAAGCTGAAGAGCAAAGATCCAAGCCAAGATTTGTCTGATCCTAGACTCTTAACCTCTTCTCTCTCCACTTACTTGTCCCCCAACTGATCTCAAAAACACCGGAAGAGCCTGGCGAGAACAAATAACTCAGCCCACCAGTAGGAGAGCTCTGCAGGACCGACCCAGATAGCTGTAGAGTGAGTGACCTTCCAAATAGCAGAGCAGAAGAGAGAGTGAGTCTCCCAGGAAGGTAGGGGTATGACACAGCATCGACTGTGGATCATGAAGGGTGGTGCATGCCCTGGGGCCTAAGAACATGTCCCTTAGTTGATCTTAGGTAACTTTCATTCCCTTTAATTCTCACTCTGCACTGGTTTTGATTCACTCAAAAGCCAGTGCTGAGATGTAGGAAATGGAAAGGGGTTGTCCTAGATTTTCTTCCCCTAAGGATGGCCCTTCTTCACCACACCCCTGACTTTCCACAGACTTTCAGTTTTCCATCAGGGGAAATGGAGAAAGTCATTCACATTGTGAAGACAGTTGTACGGTCTCTGCCAAGTATGCCTGCCATAATCAATTTATCCATTCTACAGTTGATGGGTAGTTGGGTTGTTTTTGATTAGGTTGGAATTTCAAGGTGAGAAACCCATGACTGACAGAGAGAGGGCAGAGTAGCCCGCATGGGGAAATGTCCAGAGGAAGAGTGTACGGGTGGGCTTTAGGAAAGGTTGGGCTTTTGCTGGCATCCGGTGATGGATTGCTGGGCCAGACAATACTGCAAGTATTCTGTGTACTCGGTCATTTCTTCCTCACAATAGCCCAGGGAGACAGAGGCTGGGTCACCATTGTACTGAAGAGAAAACAAAAGCCTAGCGAAGTGAGGTAACGTACCTAGCTCTACACAGCCAGGCAGCAGCTGCCTTGCCAAGGTACAGGCAGCCTTGCCATTGGATGGCAAATGTAGGAGCTTAGGTTCTGAAAGGTTAATACATTACTTAAGGTCTCACATCCCGAGGTTGAACTCAGCAATGTCTGATGCCAAAAACGTAGCTCTTTCCACAAGGCCCATATGCTCCCCTCAAACTTAAAATATAGCACTAGCTCACCTGTGCATATGGCTGCCAGCAAGCCCTCACCAAAAAGCATAGCCAGGCAGAAACCCAGCTGGGTCAAGGGTTCCAACTCATTCCTAGGTGGAAGTCATCCAGGGGCACCAAAAGGCAGTAGAGATATTAAGACTGCTCCTAAAGTTGGAGGCACGTCTGCAAAAAGGCCACTCTGGGTGGGCTCTCATCCCTGGTCACTGGAAGAACATGTGTTAGTGCTTTCCAACTCCCTGAATTGAGGAGCAGCCAGAAGGGCCCAAGGCCCAGCACCACCTCCGTGGCCCTTTTTGATTGTTGTCTGTTTTGGGCAAAAGCTGGCACTGAAGGACCTTCACACCAGGCTTTGGAAGCCCAAGGCCCCTCCTCCCATCCCCCAGACTATAGATTAATGGCAGGAAGAGGTCTAGGGAAAGAGTTGTGATTAGAGGGGAGCCATGCTATGAGTTTACTCTTCCTTAACAAAGCCTCCTTCTGGCCCCGCGCCTGCCCTCCTGCTCACTTTCCAACATTACCAGTCCCTGGGGCTTCAGGGGCGACTCAGCCTCCTGGTCTACAGAGTACACTAAGGGGTGGCAGAGGAAAGGCCACAATAGGACCCATCAGCCTATAAATAATGCCTCAGCCTGCACTGCTTGGGCCCAGGCCAGCTCAGCGCCCACCCTCTCTCTGTTCCCTCTTTTCCATGTAATTAGAGGAGGAAGTTATCCAGGCAGCTGCATCCTACCATACAAGAGTAGGAAATAAATGGAAGGTGGAGGAGAGAGGAGAAAGAAAGGGCCACAAGAAGGAAAAGAATAATGGGAGTGGAAAACTGAGGAAGAAGGATGGAAAAGCTACATGGGAACCACAGTGGTCAGCCTACGGTCACACTTTCTTCCCTGCATTCCCACTCACAGTCCCCTTTCCTACATCCCCAAAGTAGCAGACAGGAGACTTTCTGACCTAGGCTGCTGGCGCTGCAGTCTTGTGGCCCTGCTTGGCCTGACCACTGGCCCCATTTCTGGGAATGTGTGGCTACCTCCTGGAATGTGGAGCTCCTTCCTAACCCTAATTGCTCACTTCACAGTGGTCAAGACCCAGCAAAAGTGTTAGGCTGCTGCACTGCAGTCCCCAAGGGATGGGACTGATTAGCATGCATTGGGGGACAGTAATACAGCCCCTGACCAGGGGGTTAGCCACTGGATAGCCCCCCTTGAGTAGGAAAGAGGATGTGAAACCTTCAGCTTTGTGTGGGTTTGGGGCTTTGCTTCCGCAAGCCCTTATCTCTGTGTCTGCAGTCTATCCCACTCAATCTGTCTGGCCATCTGTGAACCCCAGTGCTTGTTTGTATTTTCTGGTCTTGACTATTTCTCTTGATACAGGCTCAGCCTCAGCTTCTTGCATCTATAGCTTGCCTTTCTTATGTGCCTTACTCCATGGCTGCTATCTTACCATGTGCATGAACCGCTAAGTACCTTGTGAGTAGGCCTTCACTGTGCTTTTCTAAAAAGCATAACTCCAGGTCTTCCTAGCTTTGGTTAAGATTGCCTTGGTCTTCCTGGGACACAAGTTCATCAGGCTGGAGGCCCCAGAATGTTTGCTTCTATCCCCGTGACTACAGATTAGGCTCAGCGCAGACCCAGATGGTGGAGGCCAGAGCCATGGGGTTTAGGAGGGATTTGTTCTCCATTAACTTCCGATGAGGTTCCTTTGTGTGTGCTGAGGTGTACATTTACTGTCTCATTCAGCCTTTCACTGCAGGTGTTCTGGGACTAAACTTCAAATCTTCAAATACTGAAGGAAACTTGTGCTTAGTCTAGGAGCTCACTGAAGTCTAAGACTTCTGAGATCAGGAGCTTGGTCTGTGACTCCGGATAATGTGAAGGATGGGATAAAACCACACAGCTCTAAGGACCTCTTGACATTTCACCTCTTTAGCCCTGGGCCCTAATAGCACAGGCACAAACATAGGAGGGAACACTGGGGGAAAACAGATCACCCTCAGGCAGCTGTTTCAGCACCACTGATTGCAACACAATTGTTTCTTCCAGCTCTCCCTTCAGCGCTCCAGCAGCTTCAAGGATTTTGCCAAATCCAAACCCAGCTCCCCCGTGGTGAGCGAGAAGGAATTTAATCTGGATGATAATGTGAGTTTCAGAACTTCCTTTGGGGGATCTGGCTGCTGGCCCTTGGTGGGGAGAATGGGGTGGGAGGGAGGAGGGGTTTGAGGAAATACTACTACTGTTGGGGCAAGGGCTCCTTTAACAGAAGGCCTGCCTTTCACACACCAGGAAGTTCTGGACCTCAAGTGCTCACTTGCATTCTCTCACTTGCATTCCTTTCAGTTACAAATGAAATAGCAAATTAATTATGAACTAACTGAGTTGAAAACAGGACTGGGGCTAAGGAGGAAGATGAATGGGGCCTCAATTCTATCAGCCTTCCATGACCCTTTGCCATAACCCAAAGGCCTCTTTTTACTCCAAGTCCTGTACCCAAGCAAGGTCACGTAGGGTCCCTAGACCTCCTGTTTTGTTGTCACAGATTCCAGAAGATGATTCAGGTATCCCCACCCCAGAGGATGCTGGGAAAAGTGGCAAAAAGCTGGGAAAGAAATGGAGAGCGGTGATATCCCGAACCATGAACAGGAAGATGGGCAAAATGATGGTGAAGGCCCTATCAGAGGAGATGGTGAGTCCTGGGAACCTGTGGGTGGCACTTTGGCGGGCGTACGACTGAGGATGACCACCTGGACAGCCACTGCTTGGGCCTAAAGTGAAAGCAGAAAGATCATATGGGGGAAGAGCACACCATCAACCACGGACACAACAACTAGGTTGAGGGTCCAGGAGAGTGGCTGGGAAAGGCAAGGCCTCTGAGGAAGGATGGCAATTTGGAGAACAGAAGTTTTCAATCAAGAGAGGGCTATGGGAGATGTGGCTCAAGGGAGAGATGAGATGGATTGCCGGAGACAAACCCATTCACCTCATAGCTCTGCTTGGAGCTAGCCCTTGGAATTGGGAAGGCCTAATTCTGGGAGGATAGAGAGAAAAATATACATACTCATCCATTTATTATGGGTTATGTCTGATAAGCTAATCACAAGTTGAAAATGCTATAAGTGAAAAGTGCAATGACTATCCCAGCACTTTGGGAGACCAAATTAAAATATGAATGTCACAAGTTCAAGACTAGCCTAGTGACTTAGCAAAAATCTATCTCAAAATAAAAAAATTTAGAAAAGGGCTGAGGACATAACTTAGTGTTATAGCCCTGGGTTTATACAAAGAAAAAAAGAAGAAAAGCAGTAACTACCGCTAACTTACTGAACATCTGAGCTTATAACAACACAGCCCACTGTAGAGTGTTGTTTTTTTTTCTTCTTATGAACTTGGCTCTGATTGTGAGCTGTGGCTGCCCACTACCAGAAAGGATCAGACCCCATAGTGCCAGCCTGGGAAAAGATCCAAATTCAAAACTGGAAGTGTGGTTTCTCCTGAATGTGTATCACTTTCACACCATTATAAAGTTAACGGATTCTAAGTTGAACCATAGTTAAGTTAAGAGATCATAGACAAAATTGAGAAGGTTGGCTTCAGCTCTAGGGAAAGGTGGCAGAGCTGTGGGCCAGACACGACCGCAGCAGCTCACGGCACAGCATGAGTCTGGTGTCCCTGTAGCTCCTACAGGAGTCACTAACCCATGGTGTGCTGGACTCAGCTTGTGAGGGCAGTTGGTTAAATTCTCAGGAATTTTGCAAGCTGGTTGTTAAACACAAGCATTATTTTAAGAATTATATAAATGTACAATTAAATAAATTCTATTAAAAACAAGGGTGATCCCAGAAATCTTGAGAATTCATCACACCTGTTACTCCTGTCATTGAAGATATTTGCATCTATAGTACCTGTGTAGTGGAAATAACCTAGCTCTCTCCTCCTCCCACACCTTGTCTGGCGACATCACAGTGATAGCTTGATGCTGGCCATGGTAACAGTACATGCAACACAAGAACTGGCAAATCCTGCAGGTGTTTATTCTTGAATAGCCAGGTGATAAACAGCATCCCCTTGTGATATGGTGAACTGGACAGAGCTCTGGAGTCAGCCTGAGCCAGTTAGGGGCTTCTTCAGGCCTTGGCAGGGTGACTCCTCATCTGCAACTTCAGGCCAATCATATCATTTATCTCCAAGTATCATCCTGAGGACTAAGTGAAACTGTAAGCAAGCCTGGCACATAGGATCACAGGCAAAAGTAGTTTGGTCTCAGCAGCAATGTCTGCTTGACTGGGCTGGTCAAGCAGCCCAAGCTCACCAGCCTTTTCTGCATAAACATCAGCATTTGAAGGTGATGAAGCTTTTATTCTTTTTATTGTTTTGGTAGTGGGAATCAAACTCAGGGCCTTGTGCTTACCAGGCAGGTTCTTGTGCCACTGAGCTATCTCCCCAGCCCAAAGCATTATTACTAGGCACCCTGGTAAGCCTCGTTTCAGGAGGCAGGCAGGACAAAGACTGCCAATAAGGACTCAGAGAGTGTCACTTAGCCTGTAGGAAGCAGAGCTGAAGTTTGAGCCAAGCCCAGGCTCAGTTCCACTGCTACCTTGGCAAGGTTATTCAGGGCTTCCTGCCTACTCTTCCTACAGGGAGACACTCTGGAGGAGGGCTCCGCCTCCCCAACATCTCCAGATTGCGGCCTGGACAGCCCTGGCCCTGAGAAAATGGCCCTGGCCTTTGCTGAGCAGGAAGAGCATGTACTCCCAGTGCTCAGCCGCCAGGCATCAATGAGTAAGTAGAGTTGGTGGGAGGACATCTGGGGAATCTAGAGGAAGGATGGGATAGGGACATACCAGTGGGCCGAGAGGGGGCCAGTAAGAGAAATGTTTCCTGTCTTCCTGCTGCAAGCTCTTTACATTAAATCTTCCCAACAAACTCATGGCACTGATACTACTATTCTCACTTCATTGATGAGGAAACTGAGGCTTCAGGAAGTTAAGTGACTAGTGCCAGTTGGTCCAGTCCTGAACTCAGATCTGCCCTAGGGCAGCTTCCATTTGTTCTCCCTATTTACTGGAGGAAGCCACAAGCAGAGGAAGAGCCTAACTGTCCTCTTGGACCATTATGTCCCTGCCCTTCCAATGGCATGTAGAAGCTACAGCCCCTTGGACTTCTGATATCCCAGGCCAGGGTTGGAGTATAGGTTCTCCAGCTGTGATGAGTCAACCTCTTACCACTTTGCATCTTCAAGAAGTCCAGGGACTGAACAGGAGGTGCCCTGCCTAGAGGGGCTGGGTACCAGTCTGCAGCCCAAAGGAGGCACTGCTCTTCTTGTCTCTCAGACCCCTTCCAAGTTTCTCACTCTGGCTCCACAGATACTTCATTCACTGCCCTTCCCAAAGCCACTTAGAACCTCCATTCGCAGGGAGGAGCTCACTTGAGTTTCTGTGGCATATTGTAACCAAACATTGAGTCTTATTAAATGGACAGTAAAATATTAATGTAAGGTGTGACCTGTTGGGGGCACTGGGAGTCCACAGTGCTGCCCTACGTGAGGCCAGAGGCCTCAAGCAGATCACCTAGCATGGCTGGCCTTCGGTTTTGCCATCTCTTCATGGGAGGTCCCCCAATTTGCCCATTATTTGGTCTGTGAACTGCGTGTCCTGTTAAGTCTTTTCATTATCTGAGGTCTCAGATGTGAAGCTGTCTTTCTCCAGGGCAGCCAAGGGGGTGAGTCCAAATCACTTGGCCAACAGAATGCAGCTTTTCTCCCCAGCATGTACCCTTGCGACTTTTAGCAGGCCCCCTGGAAGGCACCTGCTGGACACTGGAACAAAGGTAAGTCTCCTCCCTGCCCAATCTCCTGCAGGCAGTGAGCTCAACAGCCCCAGCACAGGCTCTGGCAGCTTTGGGGAGGAATCACCTGCTCCACTGTACATAGGACCCTTCTGTGGCCGAGCTCGAGTCCACACCGACTTCACTCCCAGCCCCTATGACCATGACTCACTGAAACTGCAGGTAAGGTTGGCATGCAGGCTCCTCCAGAGCCTGGCATGCTGCAGCCAGAGAGGAGATGGCTCTGATTCAGGGCAAGACAGAAGGAGCAGAGGCCAAGTAACCCCCTGCTCTACCCTCCTGTCTTCTCCTCTCCCCATCACAGAAAGGAGATGTGATCCAGATCATTGAAAAGCCACCTGTGGGCACATGGCTGGGCCTGCTCAATGGCAAGCTGGGCTCTTTCAAATTCATCTACGTGGATGTGCTGCCTGAGGAGGCTGTGGGGCCTACCCGCCCTGGCCGCCGACAGAGCAAGGGCAAAAGGCCCAAGCCCAAGACTCTGCATGAGCTGCTGGAGCGCATTGGCCTGGAGGTTTGAGCTTGGACCTACAGTTGTGTCTAGGAGCATGGGCGGCACCCTTGCCCCTGGGACAAGAACTGGGGAGCAACAACTATGAGTAGGGGGTGGATTTGAGGCAGGGGTGGCTCATAAGCAGTGCCAGTGACATGCCTCTACCCCCAGGAGCACACGTCCACCCTGCTTCTCAATGGCTACCAGACACTGGAAGACTTCAAAGAGCTACGAGAAACACATCTCAATGAGCTAAACATCATGGACCCACAACACCGGGCCAAGCTGCTCACGGCTGCAGAGCTGCTGCTGGACTATGACAGTGAGTAGCCTTAGGAAGAGACATGGGCATACACACTGGCAGCATTCCAGAGGACAAATGCTTGCTCTAGCCCTACCCCCAACTACACACTACCCTGGGGTGTCTCTACAGTAGGAAGGTACTTTGCACACTTGATTTTGAGTCTCGGGGAAACTGGGTGTATGGGAGTGGGTGATCCATTTTGGATCAAAGGGGGGACTTAAGGCCTGAGAAGGTAAGGCATTTATGTGAAGCCTCAAAGCTGGGTAATACAGCCAGGGTTCAAGCCAGGTTAGCAGCATTCTGGCTCACTGCTGGGGAAGTCTGAGCTCCTGGGCCACCTCTGAGCAGCATGCTAACAACCTGCACCTGTTTCTAAACTGAAAGGGGTGAGAAGAGGAGGGGTGGCAGAAGGGGTCAGAGGAACCAACTGCCTCCTAACCCTACATAGGGGCTCCCCAAAGCTACTGGCCCCCCAGCGTGGGACCCATATTCTGTCTTTCCCCCCCCACCCTCACAGCTGGCAGTGAGGAGGCCGAAGAAGGCGCTGAGAGTGGCCATGAACCAGTGGTGCACACAGTGTCAGAACCCAAGGTGGACATCCCACGTGACTCTGGATGCTTCGAGGGCTCAGAGAGTGGGCGTGATGAAGTGGAGCTGGCAGGCACGGAGGAGCAGCTGCAGGGCCTCTCCCTAGCTGGGGCGCCTTGAGGTAGAGGTGGCGCAGGCCAAGATCAGGCCTGAGCTGCAGAGGCCGCAGGGATGAAAAGCCTGGGCCCAGAGGACAGTGCCACAGGCCTGGCCAGGGCCCTATAGGCTCTGCTGAAGTAGACTAAGGGCCACCCAAAGGCACATCCCACCTGCCCCTCCCTCTTCCAATGACTGACAGCACAGCACTCCTGGCACCATCCATTCCCCTAGGCCACAGCCATAGCAGGTGGAACACCAAGGGCAGAAAGCTGAATGTACTACAATTTCCTTGTCTCTATCATTCTTAGAGGTTTGGCTGCCCATTCACTATGAAATCTGAACCAAGTGCTTTCCCCTCTGGGCTTTGTACTTGCTGGAATAGGATGGGTAGTCACTGCGGACCTTCCAGGCCAGCTCTGACAGTCTACAGTTTTAAATGTTTGCTCTCCTGCTACCTGTGGCCTGCGGCACCAGTGGGGCTTATTGAGGAGGCTAGAGGAGCCTCAGGCTCTCAAGTGAAATGGTTCTTCCTGCCTATCCATTTCATACCTTCCGTGTGACTCAGGCTCAGCTCTTAACTTCCTCCAGTTTAAAACAATGCCTATACCTCAAAGGCTATGTGCCCCTTTCCATTCCTGGCCCTCTCAAATGAGACTTCCCCCAAGACTAATAACAGGTGGTCATCCCTGACTTCCAAGGACACAAATGCTCCTCAGATGCCAGTTGTAGGTCTGGGTCCAGACTTAGCCATGTGTGTGGGTCCTTACAAACAAAGAAAGCACTAAGCTCAACATTGAGAAATCCACTGGCCAAAACTCCTTTGCTAATGTTTTGGTGTACCCTGAGTTCCAGAAAGTGTGGAGGGTGTCTGGCAATAAAGGCCTCCCTTGACCTCAGTAGCCAATCTTTGCCACATAAATCTCCCAGAAGAGCCCTTCCCCAGTACAGGACAGGCAGTGCCCACTACCTCTAGGACTGCCTGCTTTATAGTCACACTTCTTGACCTGCTACCAGAAACTCTGGGAAAAGCTAGCTTTGGAGAAGGGGCTAGGTAGAAATAAGAGGGGATGGAGGGAGAGAAATTAGAAGCAATAAAATATAGGTAGAATTAAATCACTGTCTTCAGTTATCTTTCCTATGGAGTGAGGAGAGGGGCAGACAGGTGTCCACGCTGGTCTCAGCAAAATATCCCTCCTCTTCCCTTTCAGGGCCATCCATCCCCTTCTTGATGATGCCCAATGCCCTTGGTTCTGCTTCTCTAAAGCTCTATCTGAATCCTGGGTTGGTTCTGCCCTTCTCTCTAAGCAGCCCTTCTGAGAACAGGGCTCTAGTCCCCCCATGGCTACAGCTTTCCTGGAGTCCAAGCATAGACCAAATGGAAACTACTTCCATTTTCTTGTAATAGTTCATTTTAATAAGAACCTTGAAGGTCCTCCTCCCTGTGGAGGGCTAGCATTGGAGGGCTGTCCAAAGTGCAAGAGGTGAGAGCTGCAGTCAACATGGCCTTTCCCCTGAAGCCCTCTTCCAGAGGCCTGCCCTGTACCTACTAAAGTGGCACTGAGCAGGATGGAAATGCCTGACCTCCTCCATTTCTGCTGCATTCACTACATTAGAGAGGGCAGATGAGTGAGAGTTGTCACCAGAGTGATGACAAGGTCACTCTTTTTCAGGTTGCCTTCTTGCCCATATTCCTCCTGGTGCCTGTAGTGACTGTGGGCCTGAGGAAACTGTGAGCATTATCCTCATCCAAGAAACATGAGCCCTAACAACCTCAAAGCCACAAAAGGACTGAATTATTATCGCCCTTAGTGAGCACAGGTGCAGAGAACTTTACATATATTATAGCATGTGGTCCTCAGTGAACCCCTAAGCTAGATACTATCAACATCTCAACTTGAAGAGAAGGAAAGTGAGGCTCACAGAGGTTGATTATGAAGTTGCAAAGCCAGAAGTCTGCCTGACTTGCAAGCCCATGTCAAGCACCTATGCAGTGCTTCTCAAAAGGCCCCTTGCAACAAGCTTGTCAGAGGCTGTAAGCACTTCAGAGGGCAATATGACCATCTGGCTCAGCCTTTCCCCTTCCAAAATACAGTCTACAAAGCATCACACAAATGCACAAAGATACATGGACAAAGACAGGTCCCCTGATATTAGAAACCTGGAGCCGGTTGTGGTGTTACAATCCTATATCCCACTACTCTGTGAGGCTGAGGTAGGAGGAGTGCAAGTTTAAACCCAGCCTGGACAACTTAGTGAGACTGTGTCAAAATTTAAAAAGAGCTGGGGATGTAGCTCAGTGCAAAAGCCATAGTCCTAGCTCCAATACCCCTCACCCCAACAAAAAAAGAATCATGTGCATCCAACCTACAGCCTATGGGTCAGACACACCAAAGCTACTATAATGAACAGTATTTTTAAATGTAGGGAGTTTTGTTATGTATATTAAATGTATTTTGTTGTTTGGCTTTTACAGTACTGGGAATTAAACCCAGGGTCTTTATACTGAGCTACTACATCCCTAGCCCTTTCATAAAAGTTTGAGACACAGTCTCACTAGGTGGCTAAGTTGGTCAGGCTAGACTTTAATTTTCAATCCTCCTGCCTCAGCCTCTCAGAGTGCTGGAATAATTATATTACATATTTTAGATGTGGCCTGAGACAATTCTTCATTTAGTGTGGTTCAAGCAAGAAAAACAGGCCATGATGTGTGTTCATACAACAAAATATGGTCATTTAACATGATATTGTAGAACGCTCATGACATAGAAATCTTCATAAAGTTTTTACTCTTAAAATTATATAAATAATATACCAACATTTTTGTTGTAAAAGAAGTTGATAATATATCAAGGGATAAGCAGGTACTTAAATTTATAGGATGATTGCACTTTGATGATTCCATTTTTATCTAAGAATAAAACACACACCCAGAATAAGACTCTGAGGGTCAGCAACAAATGGTTATGAATGATGGTCTTGTGAGACATGGAGTGGGACTGGGGAAAAGAGGGCTAGCAGTGCTCACTCTACATTCTTGTTTCATTTGACTTTCAAAAATACCTATTACTTTTATGTCTGTAAGAAAAGGAACAATGTTTCAATTTTTTGAAAGGTAAAACTAACAAATAGGACCCAACGCTCTGATCTCTAATAAAATAGTAACAAAAGCATCTGGAAAGATCAGCCTACTGGAATGAATAATGCCCAAAGGGCTTTTTAAAACATTCCTTCATTCTAGAGGGGCCCTAGCAGGGGACGCTCTTAAACTTTGTAAAACTCCTAGGGAAGGCTGGGAGTGCAGCTAGTGGAGGTCACTTGCTTAGCATACACAAGGTTCCATCCCCAGCACCCCCAAAATATCCTGGGTAATGGCTATTAGCTAAATGTTAAAGAAAGGAATATATCAGAAAAAGAAAAATGCCATAGAAAATGGTGCTCTGGAATTCTTCATACCCTGGAGAGGGGGAATGGGAGGATGTCTCAGAAACAGCAGCTCAGTTTGGCCTGTAGGGCGGTTACAGGGGGTAAGGAGGGAACCAGACAAAGGCTCCAGTAAGCACAGGAGTTTGGGAGGGGCAGGTGAGGAGGGAAGTGAGGGAAATACAGAGGCTAGAGCCTGAGGAGTGGAAAAGCAGAGCTGAGCAGAGCCACATGTCAGCCTGAAGCTCCTCCTATAGGCAGAGCTGCCAGAACCTTCTTTCCAGTCTGCAGACTTCTAAAAGATTCCAAATAATGTCCTGATTTCAGAAAATCAAGGTCTGGGGCTCAACAGGCTGACTCTTACAGCTAGAGACCCTATAGTCCCACCTCAGCCTGGGGTGTCAGAGACCCAGGGACCTTCAGCCTGAAGCTCCCACTGGAAGGTTGTGGATGTGCTGGGCTCAGAGGGAAAACTTTTGCCCTTAAACTCCTTTCTCCAGGGCCCAGAGACAGTGGCACAATCTCCTCTAGGACAGGTAAGACTTAGCACTTAGGACTCACTAACTGAGCCACCTTATGCAAGACACTTAATCTTAAGCCTCAGTTCCCACATCAATAAAACAGGAACAAAAGTACTAGCCCTATAGGGGCATTATGAAGACTGAATGAACTAGTGTACATATTTAGCAGTGTCCAGCACAAAATAAAGGCCCAGTGAATAGCATGTGTGGTTGCTCCAATCCGTGCCATCCTACTACTTCCATTTCACTCCCTTCAAGGCCCATCTCACCTCAGACTTATAGTTAGTACAGGAACCAGGAACAAAGACTTCTGAGTTCAAGTGTTTCCAAATTCTGGCTCTACTGCTTAGGCTTAGCAGCTACACCACTCCAGGGCAATTACATATATGCATTTACTAGAAAACAAGAAGATCATCTAATAACACCTAGCTCCTGGACTTGTTAGAGAAATAAATGAGGTAATATATATTAAGTTCTTGGCATACAGTGACAATAAGTTGCAGCCATTTGACCTTTCTATGACCTCCAGGCACAAAGGGCATATAATGTGTGTGCAGCCTGACATTCAGCACTGCCATGACCACCACACAAACTGATATCTACGCACGCAAGAGGTATGGGGCTCAGGACTGATGAAGGTGCCGGCTCTGGTGCGCAGAGAAGCTGGTGATGGAGATAAAGAAAAGAAAGCCCTCCTGAGGAGTGCTGGGCAGCTCTGGCCCTGCCCAGTTTACAGTACGATGATCAGCTCTAGGCATTTGACTTCTGCTAGGCAGCTTCTTCAGACTTTGATGGGCTGCTAGGAGGAAGAGGATCAAGGCCGGATTCAAGAAAAAAGAGTCCACTCAGCTCTTCCCAGTTCACAAGGAGAACCCTTTTCCCCTTCTCCTTCCCATCAGGGGATGCAACTAAGGCACTGGGCTATCCTAACCCAACTCTCTTCCCTCTCACTTGCTGCTTCCATACCTTAAAATGCTACTAGAGACCCCCAGCCAGGTTCTGTTCAGCTCCCCAAAAGTCTCCACACAGTCCCTCTCCTACCACCCCAAACTCCTATGGCAATGAGTCCCCAGCCTTTGCCAGTTGCCTTCCAACATCTCACTCATTGAGCTCCCCTCTCAGGCTTTTCATGGAAGTGGAGGCTGCAGTTGGGCCACTAGACTAAGGAATTAAAATGAATGCTAAGTAGTTTTCTGTAAAGGAAAAAAGCACACTGACCCCCCATAGCCCTAATAGGACCTAATACCTTCCCTCCTCCCAAGCCAGGAAATTCAGGATGAGGGACGAGGTTTCCCAGCTGGAAAAAGAAGCAGCTCTCCAGACCCTCCTTCACAATAGAAGCCACCTTAGCTTCTCACACAACGGTAGCCACATTATATAGTATTCTGCCTGCAACACAATCAAGTGGGAAGGAACTGCCTCCCTTCTAGACCCAGCCAAGACCTCTCCTCCAGGAAGGACCTAAATAAATGAAATTCTATAGTACTTAATATGTAGGCTTCACATTTTCCTATAATTTCACAGTGACCAATATAGCATTTGTATACCATTGCCTCTGGGACCTGCCACGAATAACGTCAGAAAGAGCCCAGGGCAATGGCTCTCACAAAGGGACAGCCAACTTGACTGTGGGAACCTGGCAAGGCAACTTCCTGACTTTCTATACTAAAGAAATCCCACCATCAGTTCAAACTATATTCAAGTTTAAAACAAAAACCCAACAACTGCTCCATGTCATCATGACTATATATAGTCAGCCCACTATATGACCAAAATGGAGTGATTGTCAGTAACATTAATCCAAACTGGCAAGTAACTCTAAGATCACTGATGTTTTTCAATTTACTTACAAGAGAGTGGAGTCAGTAATGTTATTTCTCCTAAAGTTAACACATGGTCAGGATACAACAAGGATTTATTGAATGTGAAATAAATGAAAGGCTCATTTCATTCAAATGACATTTATAGTTATTCAAACTCCTTTTTCTGTCTATACCTGCTTGACAGGGGCATTGGGTTATTCTAGAAAGCTTTCTGGACTGGAAGTTGGTGCATCTTGGTCTGGTCTTGGCTCTGTCATTAATCCTTTGTGAGCCTTGGGTAAGTTACTATATGTAAGACGGGTGGTGGTACATGATAGCATGAGGGCTTGGGATGGACTACATATATGACCAATGTGTTCCTTTCAGCTATGTTGGTCAACAAAGCCTCTTTTTATGGCAAATATATCACCATGTCTCTTACTTAGACATAAAACTCCAACTCTTTTGGACAAGTTGGAATAGTCAAATAGCTGCTGATATACAGCCAAATAGATGCACAATAGATGGCAAAGAAGACAGTGAGAAAGAGGGCTTGAGGAAAGCAAAGGGGCACAGAATGTCATGGAGATAATTCTACTCCATGTTTTAGAGTAGGAAAACCACTTCTAAATCAAGGGTTCTTTCATTTCCTGGCACATGGTAGAGTGTGAATTCTACACTCTAATTCATTAATCAATTAGCCACCAGAAGAAAAATACACAAAGGACTTGGACAAAAAGAATAAATACAAATGGCAGTAAACATTGGGGAAAGGAGTTATGCAGAAAATGCATAACACTTCTTTTAAGCAAAGAAATATAAAGTACATGATACTGAGATAAAAGTTTATAATTATCAAATTACTGTGCCAAATGTTTAAATGAGATAGACTGAAGAATGTTCTCAGACATACAGCTTGATTCCTAGTACCACAAAAAAAGAGCACATTAGCACTTGGGAGGCTGAAAATAGGAGGATCACTCTGAGTCCGATCTGTGTAGTGAGACCCTATAGACCCTGTACTAAGTACATAAAAAAGCACATTAAAAACATGAGAGGAGGGAGATGGTCACTTGTTTTCCCTCTAAGTTTTCCAACTATTTTGAGAAAGGAACCTCTGAGATAATCTGATCCAGCGGTTCTCAGGCCTAGCAGCCCCAATACTTCCCTTGCTATACAAGATATTTTGATGTACCCTTGGCCATGCTGAGATGAGCTTCACAGTAACCTACCTACATTTTGAATTTCAAGAACAGCAATGTGATACACACTTGTCCCTCAGTATCCAATAGGATTGGTTCTACTGTCCCCACAACCCTCAAGAATACCAGAATCTGCAAATGTTCAAGCCTCTCAGATGAAATGATATGGTATTTGCATAGGACCTTTTTGTATCTTGTATGCTTTAAACTATCTCTAGATTACTCATACTTGATACACTTCAAGTAATCGCTATACTATATTGTTTAGGGAATTATGATAAGGCAAATGTAAATGCTCAGTACAGACACAGTTTTTTCTGATTATTTTCCATCCAAAACAGCTGATTCTGTGTGTGCAGAACCCACAGATATGGACAACCAGCTATACTAACTATACTATAAAGGAAAAATTAAAAGAAAGTGATTTATAATAAGACAATATATATTTTTCAATATACAAATACCTAGACAAGATTATACTAAAACAT